AGCTGAGGAATATGTCTTTCCTGAATTTGAATGAGGACTGGGGATATAGTTTAGTAGCACAAGAACCTGCCTGGAAAACACAAGGTCCTGAGTTCAATTTTCAGTATTTAAAAAAAAAAAAAAATCAAAGTCTGAATGAACCTAATGTATCTCACAATAGATCTCTATAAATGTGATCTCTGGCTGGTCAGGAAAGGACCAGTCTTCATAGGATGAGATAGCAGTCTGGTCTTCTCTCATTCGCAGAATCAGGGAGTAGTATCTAATGATTGCTGTATCTTCCACTAAGTGATATAAAATTTAAGCACAAGGCTGGAGGGTCTTCAGGTTGGATCTGCCTTCACAAGTATCTGAAAGAAGAATTAGATTCTGGTTCTGTCTCTGCCACTGTTGAGTCTTGTCTCAGGGTGGCCTCAGTCAAACAAGGGAGTAGTTCTTCATGACTGGTGAGGTGGTCATTTCCAGCCTCATGTATTTCCCTGGTCCAGTCTGAGACTGTGGAGTGTATTAGAGGATTATAGTAAGTCTATTATGGTAAATCTTTCATATCTGCTTGTCCCTTTACATTCCCAGATGTCAGGATAGACCCAGCATACAGCTGATCTGGGTCCCAGTAGAGGCTCTTCTCTGGGGGACAGGAAATACTGTGTTTTCATGGCCCTAAATTGCTCAGAATCTTTGCTCAGAGATTCTATTTTGGTAAAGTGAGGGAGAAGTATCAATAAAATATGGTTGGTATTACAAATGAGAATTCATAGTTTTTAGGTTATGCCTTTCTTTTCCAAAGAGATGGAAGTAATATATAAATTTCATAATAGAGGACAGCAAAATAAAATATAAATAGTGAAGAGGAAGAAGAGGAACCCAGAAGACATATTGATTCACAGAGCTCATTCTTTGATGTCTGTCTGTCTGTTTTTTTTTTTTTTTTGTCTGTTTGTTTTTTGAGACAGAGTCTTGCTCTGTAGTTTAGGATGGCCTTGAACTCATGTAGCTCAGGCTGCCCTTGAACTTACAGTGATCCTCCTGCCTCAGCCTCCCAAGTGCTGGGACTACAGGCATGTATCAGCATGTCTAGCTCTTTGAAGTCTCACCCATGTGCTACAGGAGTTGCAAAATTGGCTCAGCAGCTTTCTGTGGCCAAGGTAAATAGAGAAACAAAACCAGTTGCCTCATTTACCATATCCAGGGGCTAAAAGATCAGCTGTGTAGGTGAGCATTTCAACTGAGACTTCTGAAAGATTTCCCTTAGAGATGATATGGTGAGATGTAATAAATGAAACAGCCAACAACAGGTTGTCTGATAATTCACTGGCAAATTTCCTAGGCCCAGTTATCCAGGGGGAAAGTGCTTTAGCAACTATCTTTAAGCAAATGGACAAACCCTCTCCCACCTCCGTCACCCAGAGAATCGTACCTCACTGCTGCATGCAGAGCAATATGATTGCTGTGACCACTGACTCCCCCTGCATCAAAAGTCACCACCTGTGGAGAGAGACAGGGTTTCCGCTCACTTTCTCTTCTAGCTCTACTTCAAAAAAATCTGGCTGATTTTTAACATAAAGATGGTTTCCCTCGGTTTACTGTTAACTTTTATGCTTGGGCAGTGGAGCAGGGTATAATTCAGCTGTGAAAGAAACTTAGTTCAGAATATCTTTGTTGCCTATCTGATTAGTTATTTATGAGTACATTTAATTTTCCTGGCTGGGTGCAATGTGAACTTTGTTCAAGTAGGTGTTGCCTGATTTATTTGGGCTCTTTTCCACAGGCACAAAAGTTTTATAGGACAATGACTACCATGTCCTAGGGTTGAGTTCACAGAGAAAGTTATCTGCCTTGCTTCTATTTTCATAGATATGTCATCCATTTACTATCTACAAGTCAGTCTAGGATTCAACATTTTATTTTGGCACAGATGGATTAAAAAGATAAAAGGAGGGCTGGAGAGATGGCTCAGTGGTCTAAAGCACCTACTTAGAACAAGCTTAGCAAAAGCATCAGGGACCGCGGTTCAATCCCCCAGCACCACATGCCAG